CCCGTCTAAAGGCCCACGACTACCTTCAGTTGATCCCAGCCCAGTCCTCGTCCAGCAAAGGACGTGTCGCGTCTGCACGTCTCTTCACCGTCCTCACCCCCTCCTCAAGTCTCGCTCGGGGCGTGTGGGCCAGGTCTTGGCTGTTTGAAGCTCGTGAAGCGCCGGATGGCGAACTTTTGCAGAGACAATAAAGGCTTTTGTCCACTACTCTGCAGTATCATTTCCCCCTGCGCGATGATTCTCAGACCTTCTGGATGATGTTTTACCCTGTTTTGAAGGAAATAATCAGAAAAATACTTGTGAACGACTCAGTCGACGAACCATTTTTTCACAGTTTCCACCAACGAAGCGATTGCGAAGAACACTTGACGTGGAAACAATTTCAGGCGCTACTTGCGTGACACAGATATGAACCAGCCAGTACTAATATCCGTCTGATGAGTCTTCGAGCAAAGAAGCAACTCTCATCAGGTCCTTTCAAGTACTCAATATGCATGAACTATGCAAGATACATGAAAAGATGTGGAATTGTGACCTATCCTTAACCCAGAAGAGAACGACTTGGTACTTTATGTTCTTCTGCGTCCAATTTCTATGAGGAAGCAATCTATAATATTTCCACCTTCACGGAGATCTTCACATGTGAATGCGGGCTCCGCGGATGCAACAGCAACGCAGAATGATTGGATGAGAATTTCAACGATCACGAACAAAACATGCAATCTTGTTGGAAAGTTTTGACTGGAAGCTTGTAAAATCTCAAAGGGTGCATGGAACAGAATGGCGTTTGCAGCCCATGAAAGCGCTTGTCCTCTTCAGTCCTTGCCTGCCGTTGGGGGAAAATTGTGGATCGAACTCGTCTGAGTTGGACCGATAAGTCATGATTTGTACCAAATTTACTTCTGAGTACTAAAAACTAGAAACATGTTTAGTAAAGAAAAGGTGTCAGGCCCCCGTTCAATTCTCCCTTATAAGTCAGTGCGGGGGCCTAGCTCGATTCTCTTTTGTTTACGCTGGTTCTGAGATTTGAACTTGACTTTGAGCAAATTATGTCACAAAACTTGACTTGCCACCTGTGAACCTCCGACGGCCACCCTACCGTGGGGTTGGGCTAGTATGGTCAAAGCCGGGCGCGGCACGGTCAGGTTGGCGGCCTCGTGGCCCTCCCAGAGCGATTGCTGCCGTTTCTGAGCGTTTGCGCTACTAAGAGGGCCATTGAGTTTGAACCGTTCCGAGTTCGGGGGTGTTTTGTCCGTAGTCACAGTACGCCGGTCAGGTGGCATCGAGTCTCTCAGTGCCCGGCCCCCCCGCCACCCGGTCCGTGGGGCCACGTGGCAGCACAAGTTGACCGGTAGGGTGTCACCAGTCACGTGAAACTGCCTAGCGGCGTAGGCTGCGGTGGCTGGGTAACGGTACCAAGGAGCTATAAAGTTTCGCTTTAGGTTGACAACTTTGGGAGTTGAGCCAATCTCGAGGGGTTCCGGTTTGACAGCCAGCCAGCCAGCCAGCCTGGCAGCGAGAGGCTGACAGCCCCCAAAGCTGTCAAAGGCGTTTGTGAGACGGGGGGCCACTGGAGTTGTTGGGCTAGGTATCCTGTAAGCGAGCCAGAGGGAGACCGGAGGGCCAAAATTGAGAAAATAAAAAATAAAAAAAGAAGCAGTCAGAGGCTTGAGAGTCTCGGAGAAGAGCTGGTCTTAACCACCTACCCCTCTGAGCACTTCACGGGGAGAGAAGGGGGTGGTCCTTTATGTCAAGCCTTTCTTTTTCAGTCAATAAACATGAGAAGAGTTTTAGAGCACAAAGGCCAGATTGCGGGGAATAGGTGGATACGAGCCGAGGAGGCTTGGGGTGGGTAGAGGGGAGGGGGAAGGGGAGGGCCTTATAAGCAGCACCTCCTTGCTCCGACTGCCAGACGCCCACGAGGACCTAGTGCGCTAAGATGATGTCTACTTCATGCCTTCCCCTTGCTCGTCAGCCTCAGCCAGGCAAAGCTTTCTTCGACGAAGATAGCAGCAGCAACGGGCTTCTGGAGCTGCTGTGGGAACAGAACAGCACTGACGACCAGAGCGACAGCAGCGACTGCACTGATGCCTCCTTGTCTTCTGCGTCCACCCCAAAACAACAATCGAACACGAGTACTCAAGTCAGCATTCCTGTCAATATCACGTACTTGACAGCACAAGCACAAGCCAGCTACGGCAGCAGAGTTCAACCCCATTGTGCCCAGCTCAAGAAGAGAAGGGTGAACAGGCCCAAGCACAATCATTCCAAGATCGCCACAGACATCTTCAAGCAGTGGTTCTACGAGCATCTCGAGTACCCCTTCCCCAGCGATGAGCTCAAAGCTTCCTTCGCAGACCGGACGGGGCTGAGCTACACGCAAGTATCGACCTGGTTCATCAATGCTCGCAAGCGCGTCTGGAAGCCTCTCAATCGCACGGGGTCGAGGAAAGGATCCAAGAGCGAAGTGCGTGCTGGAGTCACTGCAGAGCATCCGGAAGATGTTTCTCTGGCCGCAATGATACAAGGCGATCAAGATGCAGCCGAAATGTGCCAGGAGGATTCTTCCTTCTTCAACCTCCCCATCGACATCTGAACTTTCTACTCTCTGCGGAGAGTCGTCAGCTCATGCACATGACGTGTAAATTGCCACAGAAACGATACCACGATGTATGGCAAGTTGTTCTTTAAGTCTAATCTAATGATATACAATTGAATGCATTAAATCATGCGCAAAACGGCCCCGAGTCCCACTTTAGCTCTCTGTTTTTGGTTTCTTCAACGGAGGCTGACCTATACATGAGGTGAGATGAACAAGTCGGCCGAACCGAGCAGGTGTAAGGAATGCTCGAACCGTCTTCTTCCCCCTTCGAAGCAGCTTTGTCTTGAGGTTGGCTCAGGTTTCTTGGGTTCTGAGATGCTGCTGCCTACTCCAGGAAGTGAGCATCTCGACAAGAGATAATGTGGAACAAGCGACCTGTGCAAACAGCGCCCGCTGTTGCCGTACCAGTTCCTCATGACTATCATCCCATCATGGCTTGCTCATGACCTGCATAGATTTCCTTACCTCAGCCCACTGTTCAACATTGGGTTCTTGTTCATCTTGGGTTTCTTCTTGGAGATCTTTCAAGTTTTGAGTGTAGAACAACCGTGTGGTGATTAAAACCTCCTTGTGGCTTGAGAGCGCGGCGTCAAGGTCTTTCCTCCATGCGTGAAATCCCAGGCTCTCCAGTGACTGATAGGGAAAGAAATCGCTTTACGAGTATGCACAGATCCCAGGTCAGCATCACCTTCAGGACATGGTCTGCCCCTATGGTCGACTTCCCTTCCTTGGCACAAAGTTGCGAAGTCTCGTCGGATATCATACGCATAAATTCCATACAGCATTCCATGATCAGATTCCTTGACGGCTTACATTCAGCGCAAAAGGTACACAGCGTCACAGATTCACCCTGTCTCACTCGAACAACGATATCCTTCAGGCAATACGTCTTTTATGGTGCGGAAAACTGTAGCTGCAGTGTTGGAAATTTTCACGATGTCAGTCACACAGGAGATCTCAAGAGAGTCACAAGAAAAACCTTTGGGTAACATAAGATCGCCACTCTCCCGCTTGTTTCGGCTGTAGTCTGAACCGAACCGCAGCGTGTCATCAACGGAGATTGCAGAGCAGGTATGTGAGAGTATGATAGTGACATGTAGGAATGAGAAGGTAAAGGGGAGGAACGACGAAGCACGTTTCACAAAGAGCAGCGGCAACAAGCGTGAGAACAAGTCGCTGATGCGTGTTGTGTGAAGAATGAGGGCGAGATTTCATCCTTGGCGACAGGTGCCAATGGCCATACAGATTGATGAGGGAGAAAGGAAATTGAGGCAGAGCGCAAGGAAACAGCGCAGTTCAAGATCGACAGATGATACAAAGAGAGGGGAAAACCAAGAGAAATGAGCGTGACAGATAATTTGAAGAAGTTCTGGAGTAGGAAACACCCGTAGATTCAGGCAGTTTGGTGGGGGAGATGAACAGGCTTTCCAAGGTACAAGGACTAGTCAAGCCGGGGAGGAAGGCAGGAGGACGAAGGGGCTGACAGGATAGGCCGGATTCGTGTCGCTCAACGTACCTCCATCATCGTCGCTCATCTGAGGAGATTCAAAAGTTCAGCTGGGAGGAAGAGAATTCATCAGAAAAGTTGCTCATGGAATCAAACTCGATCTCCGCCTATCATCCAGCCTCCTTCAAACTCAAGGGGGAGGAGGAAGCAGCACAAGGAGAGGGAGGGAAAAGGAAGTGAAGGCACACAGAGAGGGAGGGGGTAGGACGTGGAGGCACAAGGAGAGGGAGGGGGGGGAAAGCAGGCAGCACATTGGGAGGGTGGGAGGGAGGAGGCAGCACCGAGAGGGAGGGAGGAGGTGGTGGAGGCACAAGGAGAGGGAGGCAGGAGGAGGAGGCAGCACAAGGAGATGGAAGAGGAGGAGGAGGAGGAGGAGGAGGAGGAGGAAGAGGAGGGGGCGATGTGATCATGGGGACTGGACGTCAGATGAGGAAGCGGATTCGGCAGCGCCATTAGAGCATTTGATGTAACGGCATGTAACGTCATGTAACGTATATATCTAAACGGCGGGCCCCGGCGGGCCCAGGGCCGGATCGGACTGTTGAGTAAACTTGAGACTGCGGCAGAGCTGTCCGAACGGCACCGGTACGTCGGCGAGCGTACCTTCGAAAATCAATAGGGTACGGGTACTTTTGAATGTGATCAGAGGGGGTGATGCTCAGTGTTCGGATGTCATGGGGGGTGGGGTAGTAATAGTGAGCCCTGTAACGTCCTGAACTTGAGTCACCCCCACCCCTGCTTTGCACCTTTGAACCTCCGTACCCCAACCCTCAATTTTACTTGCACAGTGCCTACTACCCATACTATTCCAGTTATTTAACCCCCTGTGAGAGTCCACTTGACGGACCCCTACCCATCTTTCCAGTGACCCTACCCAACAACTCCGTTTCTGTTTGGCTCATACCCTACCCTCTATGCTATATAGACTACCTAGGGAATAAGAACCGGTGGTGGTCCTTGACTCGCCCGTCCTCATGTGCAAATGAGGGTTTTTATGTGGCCAACGGGAGTAGATGAACGAGGAGGAGAGAACAGGGAGAGCCTCGGAACTTGAAGAGGGAGGAAGCGATCTGCCTGCTGCCTGCTCTGGGTATGGCAATCCAGCTCTGTGCTTCATGGTGGTTTGGATTGCAAGTGAGATAGGAGACAGAGTGAGCGCAGGACAAGTACCAGGATTGATGAGTGATTTAGAGCAGCAGAAACGAGGGAGGAGAGTCTAAGAGGAGGAGGAGGAGGATGGAAAATGAACTCAAGAGGTCTGCAAGAACGGACTAAGATGATAAGACCTTTGCGTGGAGACATATTTGAGGTGTCGAATGGTGACCCCCGTTTCTGAATTCTATGTCTTGCAGGCCCTCAGTGATATGCAACGCTCATGGCGGCTTGAACATCAGTGAACCCCCACTTGTCATGAGCCCACCACAACCTCCAGAGATCTCCGGGATTGAGCTTTGCTCTGGACAAAGTTCAAATTGTGATTTAATGAGTGATGCTGAAGCGTTGAGTAGTGCTGACAACATGATTGAAAGCAAAGATCAGATGAGCGAGCGATCTAGCGCTTGTTCTCTTCTGCATGATATGATTACACAGCATTCCATCGCTTCGAGCTCAGCAACAGCCGGTGACGACATGGAGGGTCAAGATCCCCCCCCGAGGCTGTGTGATGAATCTCCATCGACTGATTCGTGCAAGAGTGAAGAAGGAACAAAGCTGCATGCCTGCAAGGGGCCGCTCTTGAACCGCCAGATGCTGCTAATGAGAGTCGAACCTTGGAGCAGAGCCCTGGTTCCCTTCTTTCAGTTGAATCCCCATACCAATACGAAGACAGCAGCGACGTGATCGGAAACGCTGACTACCCAGTGAAAGCTCTCCTACTCGATGCCGAGTCAGAGCAGCATGAGGTAGATGATTCCAAATCGTCATGCATGGCGGGAGTGACTGGGAAGATACTTGACGATGAACAACATGGCTCTCCACCAGGAGATGAACGAGAGCTAGACGAAAGCATCCAAGGTGAAGTCGAAAATGATTCCTCAGGCTCCTTGGTTGAGGAGAGCAGCGTCCGTGAACGGAAGGATTCCACAGCAGGGATCTTGATGCGAGTGAGGAGGTCGAGACGGTCGAGACGAGGAGTCAAGATCACCCCGAAGCGAGTGAGGGATGAGAGGAGGGGAGCGAAGGCAGGGAGACAAAACAAGGATGAAGGCCAGGTTGGGCCAAGAGACGCTCTTCTGAATTCTTCTCCTTTGGATGATGCGCAAGTTGCTGGGGTGATTGAGGTGAACGAGGAAAACTCTCGTCATCCGCCTGCATGGCGAAACATTTTCAGAAGGATGCGGCCGATGAAACTCTGGCGAACGTTACTCCTCTGCATCGGACACCCGATACGGCAGGGGATGAAATTCGAGATGTCAAGGGAATAGCGATGGCTGCAGGACTCGATGAGAAGGATCAGTCGTCTGTTCCGCCCGAAGAGCGAACTGAGGATGACGAGGATGGTTCCGATCGGAGCCTGTACACTACCATCGGACGCTTGGAACAGACTGCTAGTTTAGGAGGCGAGCAGCTGCCGGGGAATGGCAGCGCTGAAATATCATCGGAGGATCAAGTGAACGAGGTCGACGATGGAAGGCGCCAGAGACAAGAGACTGTGGAGGTGAAGGAGGACGAGAAACAAGTTCAGGCGAATTTGGAAGGGGAGGAGGAGGAGGAGGAGGAGGAGAAGGAGGAGGAGGAGGTAGAGGTGAAGGAGAAGGAGGAGGAAGAGGAGGAGGTAGAGGTGAAGGAGAAGGAGGAGGAGGAGGAGGTAGAGGTGAAGGAGAAGGAGGAGGAGGAGGAGGAGGTAGAGGTGAAGGAGGAGGAGGAGGAGGTAGAGGTGAAGGAGATGGAGGAGGAGGAAGAGGAGGAGGTAGAGGTGAAGGAGATGGAAGGAGAAAGAGGAGAAGGGGGAGGAAAGAGGTGGGAGGTAAAGCAGCTGATCGGACTCGGGCGTATCCG